CCCCCCCCCCACATTTTGCTACAGAGCATCATGTGCAATACGGCACCGTTCACCGTTCGCACAAGCATGACTTGCTCCTATTGACCTATCTCTACCAAGTCATGCGGTGCCGGTCCAACTGCACGTATGGACTACATACACATGGTTGCTTGGGAGAAATCGCACAAATACTGCAAATTTGATCCCATTCAACGAAAATTTTTTTAAAACGTGCACGTTTAATAATTGCGTCGTTTCACGATAATATAATGTTTCAAGATTTAAAACTGAAAATCACTAGTATTTTTCGTCAATATTTCGTGTACGAACTGTGCGTTATTATAAAATCAAACTATCTCGTTACATCACGAATTTATGGCATCAATTGGTGAACAGACCTGGTTGCTAGAGAGTTTGTTTTTAAAAAAAGTAGTGTCCGAGATCGTTCTTTCAGTAAAACTACCGAGTTACGAACTGATCGTTATTTTACAAATGTATTCATCATTTAAAAATGTGTGCACAAATTAGCACGATTTTTTGTGTCAAATCTCGATATAATATCTAACAGTAGTGATGTTTTGACCTCTAGTCTCACCCCCTCGCCCTCCTCGACCGCACCTCCGCTACGTGAGAGTGTCGTCAAGTTATTTTTTCCCATACCCGGACCTGCCTCTGCCCCCTACTCCCCACCCCTTTCTCTCATCTCGATATGACCCCCCCCCCCCCCTCCTCCACGCCTTCGATTCCTCTCCGTTGGCGGCAGTGGTGGCGGTCCGATGTACATTTCTAAATTGCTGCTGAACTTGTTGCTGTTCCACATAATTCGGAGACACGTTTCATCTCACTAAAAGCGTCAGAGCTGCGGGGCGGTGTGAGGCTGAAAGACGCGCTGAAGTAGTAGAGGGTGGCGGGGCGGGGCGCTGCGGGGCGCTGCGGGGCGCGAAAGGGGTGAGCTGCGCGGGTGGGGTGGACACGCGCGTGTTTAGCGAATGAATACATATGAGGCTGGGGCGTGCCCCCCCCCCCATCCCTCCCCGGGCTGTGTTTAGTTACAAACGGCTGACCGGGGGACGCTTGCGGTGCTGCTAACGCCTCGAGCACCTCATTCTCGGCCGTCGACTATGTCTATGGCCTGCAAGAACTGACCCAATGTTTAGGAAGAAACCGAAAAAAAAAACCAGTTCATTATGATAGCCTTCCTTTTCGCCAACTTTTGTCACTTGATGGGCAAACGTTTTTGTTTTGCTTACTTTTCAACATTCAGTATAGCTGTGCTTACGAGGGGTTGGAAAAAATGTTATAATCGTGGCACGTCACGCCGCACTTAATATGTTTAAACAAAACAAAAATCAAGCAATACAAACATTTCTAAGTAAAAGTGTCAAAAGGAGTTGTAGGTGAATGCAATGAGATGAATTATTTCCCTGTACTCTCCCTCTCCCAATCTCTCTGTCTCACTGTCTCTCCCTGCTCCCTCTCTCCCTCTCCTCTCCGCCGAGACGCACGCGACTGCACGCATGGCGCGCTGCGGTGTCGCCCCTCGCCCGCCCTCCCTCCCTCCCTCCGACCCCCAGTGTTGTGACTTTTAATCGGAAGCTGGCTGCTCGGCTGTGCTTGGCTGCTCCGCACTGCTCCGCACGGCTCCGTACCAGCGGCTG